TGGGACTAATGAAAGTATTTAGAAAATTGGGCAGACTAGATGGGCCGAATGGTTCTTATCTGCCGTCACATTCTATGTTTCTATATCGTTATCTACATAACGGTGAACATATCTCTGGAGTCCTGTGTGCTGAATCCCCCTGTAATCTCTGGCTCTTATCCCCAATGGGAAGAACCTGTTTCAGACTATCAGTGTCATGTGAGAGGGATCTACTGAGAGAGTATTTAGATGCTGCCAGATCACATATTCTGATGGAGTTAAGGATTACCAGACACATTTTCCGTAGAAATGACTGTGTTCCCTGGGAAGCCAGATATAGAATTGAGGAAGTTCGGCTCCCATGAGAAGTGTTTCAATATCTACCCAAGGTCAGGCGGGGAATGCCAGTGGATAACTCAAGCTAGTTGTGCTGCAAGGTAATAGTAGTGTAAATGAGGTAAGTGATGCCTCCCATATTTCTGGGCCTATAGAGCAAATCCTTCTCTGCCAAATAAATGTATCTATAGGGAGTGCAGAATTATTAGGCAAGTTGTATTTTTGAGGATTAATTTTATTATTGAACAACAACCATGTTCTCAATGAACCCAAAAACCTCATTAATATCAAAGCTGAATATTTTTGGAAGTAGTTTTTAGTTTGTTTTTAGTTATAGCTATGTTAGGGGGATATCTGTGTGTGCAGGTGACTATTACTGTGCATAATTATTAGGCAACTTAACAAAAAACAAATATATACCCATTTCAATTATTTATTATTACCGTGAAACCAATATAACATCTCAACATTCACAAATATACATTTCTGACATTCAAAAACAAAACAAAAACAAATCAGTGACCAATATAGTCACCTTTCTTTGCAAGGACACTCAAAAGCCTGCCATCCATGGATTCTGTCAGTGTTTTGATCTGTTCACCATCAACATTGCGTGCAGCAGCAACCACAGCCTCCCAGACACTGTTCAGAGAGGTGTACTGTTTTCCCTCCTTGTAAATCTCACATTTGATGATGGACCACAGGTTCTCAATGGGGTTCAGATCAGGTGAACAAGGAGGCCATGTCATTAGATTTTCTTCTTTTATACCCTTTCTTGCCAGCCACGCTGTGGAGTACTTGGACGCGTGTGATGGAGCATTGTCCTGCATGAAAATCATGTTTTTCTTGAAGGATGCAGACTTCTTCCTGTACCACCTTGACAGGTGGGGTGACAGTGTGAAGTGGCAGGGTGAGGGGTGGTGACAGGGTGTTAACAGGGGGTGACAGGTGGGGTGCAGGGTGAGGGGGGGTGACCAGGTGTTGACAGGGGGTGACAGTGTGAGGTGGCAGGGCAGGGGGGGGTGACAGGGTGAGGTGACAGGGTGAGGGGGGGTGACAAGGTGTTGACAGGGGGTGACAGTGTGAGGTGCAGGGTAAGGGGGGGTTACAGGGAGGGGGGTGACAGGTGAGGGGGTGACAGTGGAGGTGGCAGGGTGAGGGGGGGACAGGGTGTGGACAGGGGGTGAGGGGTGACAGGGTGAGGGGGGTGACAGGGTGTTGACAGGGGGTGACAGATGGGGTGACAGTGTGAGGTGGCAGGGTGAGGGGGGGGTGACAGGGTGAGGGGGGGTGACAGGTGGGGTGCAGGGTGAGGGGTTGTCAAAATTTACCTTTTTCCCTGGTGGTCCAGTGGGGTCAATCTGTCCCTGGTGGTCCAGTGTCCTGGATGGCTCCCTGGTGGTCCAGTGGGCTTTCCGGTCTGCAGCTCCGCCGGATGCAGAGCTGCAGACCACATGGGGAATGTCTCGCGATCTCCATTCAGAGCGTTGCCGTGGTAACCCGCGGCAACGCTCTGATTGGCTGAAGCGCGCGAGACACCTCAGTCTGCAGCTCACACCCGGCGGAGCTGCAGACCGAGGCCGGCTCTCTCCCCGGGCGGACTGACAGGAGGGGCCTCGCACCCGGCGGCACAAAGGGCAAGCCGCCGGGCCCCCTCCTGTGTCAGGTCCTCGGTCATAGACCGAGAACCCGACATGTCAGTCTGCCCTCAGGTGATTTAGGCGGCCGCGAGGCCCCTGACTGCGCGAGGCCTTAGGCGGCCGCCTAAATCGCCTAATTAGAGAGCCGCCTCTGCTTACACTTTTCTAAAAGAATATACAGGTCTTAATGCGGGGTGACATCAAAAGAGAAAAAAATATAAAACAATACTAGTGCGGATGGTACTATCAAAAGTGCAGTTATGCTAATGAAGTAAGTAGATACACTCACAATATTCAGAGCCTGGGGATAAGGCTCTATAATAGTGCATATGTGCTATTATAGGCAGCACCCCCACCTTCTTGGACGAGTATCGATCTCAAGGCAAGCAAACAGGTAAAGAGATTATGGTGCAGTATATCTATATGGATCAAAGACCCAAAACACGATATCAAATAAAGGAAGAGGGTAGGAGAATACTATATGTTAGTATCAGGGCCTATTAGAGCGGGGCATGAACCCAGTTAATGAAATTTAAGGGGACAAGAGGAACTAGTTCTAAGCCTATGTTGATGGAAAAATAAATTGTATAAAACTTAACTTTTAATATATATATACACAAAAAAAGAGAAATGAAAAAAGATAAATAATAAAGGTGGAAACAATCTCATAAATTGCCACTAGGTGGAGACAACACCTAATGGTGCTAAATAAGCATAATATACATACTGACAATTTCAAAATTTCTCTGTAATGTAAGGTGAAGAAAAAGATAAATATCAACTCACTGAGTCCACTATTGTTTGCCATGTTTCAATTTGTCTTTTGAATGCAAACCAAGACAGTGACTTGGTTGCTATGTTATGCCAGGTGGAATTTTCATTTCTCTTTTTTGTGTATATATATTAAAAGTTAAAGGATCACTATAGGGTCAGGAACACAAACATGTATTCCTGATCCTATAGTGTTAACACCACCATCTGGCCCCCCTGGGCCCCTCATGCCTCCCTAAATATAGAAAAATCTTACTGTATTCAAGCCAGAAGCTGAAACTCTGCATGCTGTTTGCCTCAAAAAAACAAGCAGTCTGCTGACATCATCAGAAGTGGTGGCCTGATCCAATCACAATTCCCCATATGATTGGCTGAGACTGACAAAGAGGCAGATCAGGGGCAGAGCCAGCATGATTCAAACACAGCCCTGGCCAATCAGCATCTGCTCATAGAGATGAATTGAATCAATGAATCGCTATGAGGAAAGTTCAGTGTCTACATGCAGAGGGAGGAGACACGGAGACACTGAATTTTTAGATGCATTTTTGGCAGCCATGACCCAGGAAGGATCTCTAACAGCTATCTGAGGAGTGGCCAGTGAAGTTATCACTAGGCTGTAATGTAAACACTGCTTTTTCTCTGAAAAGACAGTGTTTACAGTAAAAAGCCTGAAGGGAATGATTCTACTCACCAGAACAAATACAATAAGCTGTAGTTGTTCTGGTGACTATATTGTCCCTTTAAGTTTCATACTATTTATTCTTTCATCAACATATGCTTAGAGCTAGTTCCTCTCGTGCCTTTGCCCTTATATGCCCCTCTCCAAGATGGAGTCATCATTACGTCCCAAGGAAGCCGTAATTTAAACGTCGAAACGTGTTGATGTCATCCAGAGGGGGCGGAGCTTGCGGATCCGAATGAATCACACTGCGGGAACGGAAGACCAAGCTGTCAGAAGGACGTGGCAACACACTGTCAGGAGTACGCGAGAACTTTAGCCTGCATATAGAGAGACTTGCAGCCCCACTGAATTGAGCCTGATTAGTGAGTAGCGGTATATGCCGTATTTACTCACCACCTGTTCTCGTAAGAGGCAGTGTTTTTATTGCGTTATTTTTTATTATTTATGTTTGCACACTATGCATAATAAAATCATGTTATAATATCTATATCACCTATTCCTTAACTCCTTAAGGACAGAGCTTCAGAAGCTTGTCTTACGCTTAAAGGACCACTATAGTGCCAGGAAAACATACTCGTTTTCCTGGCACTATAGTGCCCTGAGGGTGCCCCCACCCTCAGGGACCCCCTCCCGCCCGGCTCTGGAAAGGGGAAAGGGGGTTAAAACTTACCTTTTTCCAGCGCATGGGGAGCTCTCTGCCTCCTCTCCCTCCAATGAGACAGCCACTAGAGGATAGGGAAGGCTCCCATTAATAAACATAGCAGTTTCTCTGAAACTGCTATGTTTATAAAAAAAATGGGTTAACCCTAGAAGGACCTGGCACCCAGACCACTTCATTAAGCTGAAGTGGTCTGGGTGCCTAGAGTGGTCCTTTAAGGACAAAGGCCATTTCTGCATTTTTCTGCTGTTTGTATTCAAACGCAATTTGCATCTCTGTCATTTATTGCACCAACACATATCATACATTGTTTTTTAGAGGGCAAACAGGGCTTTAATTTGATATATATATATATATATATATATATATATATAAGCAAATTTGTATTTGTATATTGTTTATAGGGACACTGCAGCCAGATCACTTCAATGATCTGACCTAATTTTTGCAGGTGGTATAGTTGTCCATTAGTCTTGGCAAAATGCCTCCAGGTCA